TTTTCAAACCCAATTCTCAGCCCAACCCAATTTTTTTTTGTTAATCTAATAATCCTAAACCTAATTGCCCAGCCCCAATTTACAACCCAATTTATAGGCCCGATTTACATATAACCCTAGCAGGAAGACATTTCACTCAGTCTCTCTTTTGCTTGCCGCTTCTTGCAATTTCAAATTGCGAATTTGGAAATTGGGATTCCTCATTCCTCTCTCGGTCGACGTCGGTCGCTCCTCTCCAGTCGGTCGCTCCTCTCTAGTCAGTCTCTGAGTCTCCTCTCCTTTAGTCCCCTGCCACATTCTTGCTCAAACTCTGCCCTCATCTCCACAGATCATTATGAATCGGTGCTTCCCTTTAGCTCTCAACCTCTCACTGACTCACCATGCCGGTTGGTCTCTTCAGCCAGTCTCTGAGTTTCCTCTCCTCTAATCCTCTGCCACACTCTTGCTCAAACTCTGCCCTCATCTCCACGGACCTTCATAGTGATTCCCTTCAGTTTTCAACCTCGCCATCACTACAACCCCTGGCCCCTGCTGCCCTGCAAGACTCGCCGCTCACCTCCAGTTGAGCTCTAAGGTTGTCGTTGGGTCATCTCATCCCGCCTCTCACCGTGGCATCGTGTTGCCAGCCCATCACTGCAAGTCAGCAACGCTCCTCACTCACCACTGCTCACCTTAAACTTGTTTTAAAAGAGTGATCTTGATCATCTTTGTTTGCTATATAGGATTCTATAAAATTGCTATTTTCTTTTGGAATTTTGATTAACAAGCAGTGAATGGCGGGGACTCCGAATACCCGCGGGGAATAATAGGTCCCCGCGGGGAATAATAGGTCCCCGCGGGGATGGGGACGGAGGCAATTTTTGACCCTCCACCAAAATTCCCCGCGGGGATCCCCGTACCAGCCATTGATGGCGATGGGGATGGGGAGGGGGTCCCCGCCCCGTGAGGACCCGTTGCCATCCTTAAGAACAGCCGAATTGAGATGTTGAACTCTGTGGGCCTCGTGGAGAACAAGGCCATGCTTCTAGTTCATTTTATTTGTTACCATATATATATATAT